TACCTTGAAGCATATATGTGAACAGTATTTAGATAAAGGTAGGGAAGTTTTTATTGCATTCATGGATTTAGAAAAGGCATATGATAGAGTGGATAGAGGAGCAATGTGGCAGATGTTGCAAGTATATGGAATAGGTGATAAGTTACTAATGCTGTAAAGAGCTTTTATGAGGATTGTGAGGCTCAGGTTAGGGTGTGTAGAAGAGAGGGAGAATACTTCCCGGTAAAAGTAGGTCTTAGACAGGGATGTGTGATGTCAACCATGGTTGTTTAATATATTTATTAGATGGGTTGTAAAAGAAGTAAATGCTAGGGTGTTCGGGGAGGGGTGGGATTAAATTATGAGGAATCAAATTCAAAATGGGAATTGACACAGTTACATTTTTGCTGATGATACTGTGCTTATGGGAGATTCTAAAGAAAAATTACAAAGGCTAGTGGATGAGTTTGAGAATGTGTGTAAAGGTTAGAAAGTTGAAAGTGAACTAGAAAAGAGTAAGGTGATGAGGGTATCAAATGATTTAGATAAAGAAAAATTGGATATCAAATTGGGGAGGAGTATGGAAGAAGTGAATGGTTTTCAGATACTTGGGAGTTGACGTGTCGGCGGATTGGATTATGAAGGATGAGGTTAATCATAGAATTGATGAAGGAAAAAGGTGAGTGGTGCGTTGAGGTATATGTGGAGTCAAAAAACGTTATCTATGGAGGCAAAGAAGGGAATGTATGAAAGTATAGTAGTACCAACACTCTTGTATGGATGTGAAGCTTGGGTGGTAAATGCAGCAGCGAGGAGACGGTTGGAGGCAGTGGAGATGTCCTGTCTAAGGGCAATGTGTGGTGTAAATATTATGCAGAAAATTCGGAGTGTGGAAATTATGAGAAGGTGTGGAGTTAATAAAAGCATTAGTCAGAGGGCAAAAGAGGGGTTGTTGAGGTGGTTTGGTCATTTTTAGAGAGAATGGATCAAAGTAGAATGACATTGAAAGCATATAAATCTATAGGGGAAGAAGGAGGGGTAGGGGTCGTCCTCGAAAGGGTTGGAAAGAGGGGGTAAAGGAGGTTTTGTGGGCGAGGGGCTTGGATTTCCAGCAAACGTGCATGAGCGTGTTAGATAGGAGTGAATGGAGACAAATGATACTTGGGACCTGACGATCTGTTGGAGTGTGAGCAGGGTAATATTTAGTGAAGGGATTCAGGGAAACCGGTTATTTTCATATAGTCGGACTTGAGTCCTGGAAATGGGAAGTACAATGCCTGCACTTTAAAGGAGGGGTTTGGGATATTGGCAGTTGGGAGGGATATGTTGTGTATCTTTATACGTATATGCTTCTAAACTGTTGTATTCTGAGCACCTCTGCAAAAGCAGTGATAATGTGTGAGTGTGGTGAAAGTGTTGAATGATGATGAATGTACTTTCTTTTTGGGGATTTTCTTTCTTTTTTGGGCCACCCTGCCTCGGTGGGAGACGGCCGACTTGTTGGACAAAAAAAAAAAAAAAAAAAAAAAAACGTACAAAATATACTGGGAGAAAGAGAAGCGAAATACACGTTCTTTACCAGGTATGAAATATTACAAAGGAATATGCTAGCAGCTTACATGCCCAAATTATAAATGTGTGACTTTAACATAAGTGGGGGAAAAAAAATTACCCAAGTTAAAGGTTGAAAGGTGAAACCAAGAGCTAGTGCTCCACCCCTTCCCTCTTGTAAACCTGCATTTTTTGTTTTTAGGACACTGGCCATCTCCCATCAAGATATGGAGAAAAAAAAAAAAAACGCCACATTCACCATCATTCAAGTTCAACGAGGAGAAATTTCAACTACTCAGATATAGAAAACTTGAGGAAATTCAAAATGTATAAGGGTATATAAAAAATTCTAACCATACAACAGAGCAAAAAAGAAATGTGAAGGACCTGGGAGTGATAATGTCAGAGGATCTTGCCTTCAAAGACCACAACAATGTATCTACCACATCAGCTAGGAAAATAATAGGATGGATAACGAGAACATTTAAAACTAGGGACGCCAAGCCCACGATGACACTCTTCAAATCTCTTGTTCTCTCTAGGCTGGAATACTGCTGTACACTAACGGCCCCTTCAAGGTTGGCGACATTGCAGACCTGGAGAGTGTACAAAGAACTTTCACAGCACGCATAATTATGATAAGGCACCTAAATTACTGGGAACGGTTGAAGGGCCTTGATCTGTATTCCCTGGAATGCAGGCGAGATACATTATAATAAACACTTGGAAGGTCCTGAAGGGATTGGTACCAACCTGCACATGAAAACCACTCCCTATGAAAGCAAAAGGCTTGGCAGGAGGTGCAACATTCCCCCAACGAAAAGCAGGGGCGCCACGAGTACACTGAGAGACAACACAATAAGTGTCTGGGTCCTAAGACTGTTCAACTGCCTCCCAGCATACATAAGGTGGATTACTAATAGACCCCTAGCTGTCTTCAAGAAGGCACTGGACAGGCACCTAGTCAGTACCTGACCAATCGAGCTGTGGTTTGTACGTCAAGTTTGTGTGCGGCCTGCAGTAACAGCCTGGTTGATCAGACCCTCATCCACCACGAGGCCTGGTCTCAGACTGAGCTACAGTTGCGTTGGCCCCCAAAACAAGGTAAATTCCAAGTAATTCATACAATATCTGTCTTGCTAGAAATGTGCAGACATTGCAATTCAAATGATCTTCTGAACCACAATATCCCCACCCCTTTTTCAGTGTGAAGTCACTGTACTTCCAACCTCCAGGACTCAAGTCTGGCTAACCAGTTTGCCATAAGTCCCTTAGCGTTACACTAGTTGAAGGCAGTGTGTTGATGCAACTGTGCAATGAGAAAAATTTATCCACAGGCAAAAACAATTAATGTACCAGAGTACAGTGGTACCAACATGTTTATATGGGTGTGAGGCATGAGTTTTGAATACCGCAGCAAGGAGGCACACAAAGGCAGTGGTGATGTCATGTCTGAAAGCAAAGTGATGTGAGTATCATACTGAGAATTTGAAGTGCAGGAATTAAAAGGCAAGGGTATAATTCAGAGGGCTGAAGAGGAGTTGTTGAGGTGGTTTGGGTATGTAGAGTATGGAGAGGGACAGGCTAGCAAAGAGGGTATATAAACTGGGTGGAAGGTAAGAAGAGTAGAGGCTGTCACAGGAATGATTGGAAGGGGTAAAAAGAGGCTGTAGCATCTAGCAGGCTTGGGTGAGTGTGTTGCATAAGAGTGAATGGAGACAAATGGTTTTCAATGTATGTACTATTGGAGTACACGTAAGCTAACTAATGAAGGGTTACAAGGAAACTAGTTAGCCAGACTTGAGTCTTGGAAGTAGCAAGGGAAGTGCCTGCATTCTGAATGAGGGGCAAGGATGTTACAGTCAGGAAAGGTTACTCTGCTGCTGATCTGTTGTTAAACCTCTCCACTAAGTGGCACCAGTCACTGGATGAATCCAAAGTCAGCTGTGTGGTAGCACTGGACATTGCTGGCGCTTTCGACCGGGTGTGGCACCAGGGCCTCTTAGCAAAACTTCAAGCACTGGGAATTGCAGGTTATACGCTATGTCTCCTCAGTGATTACCTACATGGTAGATCTCTAAGTGTAGTTCTCAATGGAACGGAATCAGCAAGACATCCTATTGGGGCAAGTGTTCCACAAGGAAGCGTGCTGGGACCATTGTTATGGAATGTCTTACTTCAACGACCTTCTTCATCTCATCCCAGAATCACATGCTATGCAGACGACTGTACACTGACATTCACTTATCCAAGAGAAGAAATGCCAGCTGCTCTAAGCTACATCAATCACCAGCTGAGAGCTATGTCAGCTTGGGGAAATAGATGGCAAGTAACATTTGCACCTGAGAAAACGCAAATGATGATCGTCTCTAGGCACCATGATGGTAATGCTGGTGCAGTAGTAAGGATTGAATGGGAGGGTGTTGGCACCTGGAGAAGAAGTTGATATCCTTGGGGTGAAATTTGACTCCAAACTAACCATGAAGAACCATGTTGTAAATCTTGCAAACAAGGCAGCCAGGAAACTTACAGCACTTCACCGTATCTCGCATCTGCTTGACAGTAGGGGATGCAAGATTCTGTACGAGGCACAAGTACGCTCACACCTTGAGTATGCTCCACTTTCTTGGTTTGCCTGCTCCCCCTCTCATCTGCGACTGCTTGACAGAGTAGAGAACAGAGCAAGACGTCTCATCTCTCGCCTGGACCCATCCTGGATAGATCTGTCATTTCAGCAGAGCCTTCAACATAGGAGGGATGTGGGTGGCCTTACTGTTATGTACAAGGCCAATATTGTCAAAGTACCACACTTGGATCCACTTCAAGGACAGTGTGAAACAAGCTTTTATGCCACAAGACAGGCAGAAAGCAGCAACTTCACTCTGGCTGTACCCTTCTCCAGAACATCACTCCATCTGAGATCCTATATACCCAGGATGACTCGAGTATGGAACACATTCGTACAGCATAATGATGTCAACGAGATAAAGATGGCCCACAGATGGCTCCAACTTCATCCTGTTCCCTACTTGTATGTCTCATAACAATAAAAATGCTTTCAAATGAGCTGATGTAGGTAACAGCTCTTAGCTTGCCAATAAAGTTAGGAATCCTTAACCTGTAAATAGCTTGTCAATAAAACTAGGGATCCTTAACCTTGTCAAACCCTCTGTAAAAAAAAAAAGGTAATCTGATGGTGATGTTAGCACACATCTTGAAAAATTTAAGCGAATGTTGGTAAAAGCAATATCTTTTTTGGGTCATTATGCCTTGATGGGAGTTGGCCGTTGAGTTAGAAGCATTTATTTATTTTATACAATTTAATGAAAAGCTTGTCAGCTTCTCTTGAACAAGTCTGTTGATACTAAAAGCTTTCAAGAAATTGGGTGATAATATCTACTTTGATTCAGCAAAAATGGTTAAAATGAAAATATGCAAGATGCTCATTACATGATACAATATTGCCTTACCTAAGGAACTGATCAGAAGTTGTACCACAATGCATGAAAGCATTAGCAATAACTGTTGCAGTATGACACACTGATGCACGAACCGCTTCTTTACTATGCCGTAATATTAACATATCTGTATGATTGTTAGCAATGAGAAACTGCAGGTGTTGTTCAATAGTCATTTCACCACTAAGAATCCCAGCAAGTTTTTCAACTCTATTCTGATGTGTCTTCTCAAGCTCAGTCTGTGGAAGAAAAATAAATTCACAGTAATTTATATAACAAAACAAATGTATTGGGACCTGACGAGCTGTTGAGTGTGAGAAGGGTAACATTTTGTGAAGGGATTCAGGAGAACCGGTTAGCCGGACTTGAGTCCTGGAAATGGGAAGTACAATGCCTGCACTTTAAAGGAGGGGTTTAGGATATTGGCAGTTTGGAGGGACTTCTAAACTCCCATATCTGAGCGCTTCTGCAAAGACAGTGATTATGTATGAGTGATGGTGAAAGGGTTGAATGATGATGAAAGTATTTTTCTTTCTTTTTTGGGTCACCCTGCCTTAGTGGGAAACAGCTGGTGTTAAAAAAAAAATTGTAATGAGTAGATTGTACTATACCACTGGTTCCCACCTTTGCTGAATATAAGGGCAAACTTTTTATCTCAAAAACTTTTGTAGACTGCCAAAGCTGAGGGACTATCACCTGAAAATTGCTGCTACCAGTCTCCAGTGTTACATTCACCTTTATTAAACCCAAGAAACCTGTTATGCAGGAAAAAAGACACATTGGCAATAAAGATACCAAAGTGTTGCAAATCTTATTCATCAACCTGTCAGTACAGGTAAACCTCACGTAACACAGAATTTTTATGTTCCTGAAATCAGCACTTTATGTAAAATCTCACTATGAAATATATATAATGCATGGGAAAAATAGTACAAAGCTCCTAAAAAAGGCGGTTTATTTTATAAAAAATAATGAGTTTTGACAAAATACATTACAGATGCCATTGTTTGTTGATCTAGAAATGTATATTATGTACCTAAATAAGAAAAAACTACTTAAACTTGTTTAACAAGTCCTGTGGGAAGTGTGTGTTTGGTAATGGTGTTAGACACAGTATGCTTCTATTCCTTCCAAAGAAAATAAGAATAGTGCTTTATCCAAAGAGAATGGAGATGACTAATATATTGCCAGTGACTATTAGAAATTTAACACACAATCTTAACCATATAAAATGTGTTTGTTGATGTAGATATGTCTGGAGATGGTTATGTAGCTCAACTAAGCAGTAGATAGTTATTTAAGTACTGAACAATAGACGGCCGAGTTGAATGTTTATCACAGAAACGCCTTTCATACATCAGATGATACAATCACACCTTTCGCTCTGCAACTCGATCTTAATAATAGCCACAGAACAAATGGCGATAGTTCCTTAGAAATGAAAAAATAAACCATAATTTCTCAACCTCCCTCCCCTGATAGATTCAACTGTAACCAAATGCAAGTATACTAAAAGAACAATAAAGTTAATGTACCAAATCATCGAGTGTTTTTTCTTCACTCATTGGTACATCTTCATCCATAGCTCCTGCTGTCCCAGTCTTCTCTTCCTCTTCTGTAGAACCACTACTTGTTCCTCCAGCTGGTGCTACAGTTGTGGAGGAAGAAGTTGTACTAGTAAGTGCATCGACATCTTTTAAAAGAGATGGTACTGGGGCCGTGGTTCGCAGACCCTGACGTACATGAGAAAGAAGATCCTGCGTGGCACTTTCATATAGGTCAAAGCCAATCTGGTAGGCCATTAGTTCATTGTCCTGAAATAAAATACATCATATTATAACAATTACAATATGTACATGACATTAAATATCAAATATTTTTTATAACTTACTAAAGAACTTGTGAACAAGGAACCCTTTGCATAAGCATTTATCATTTTCATTTTTAATACAGTGGAACCTCTACTTGCGAGTTTAATTCGTTCCATGACCTTGCTCGCAACTGTATTTGCTCATTTGCAGAGTCAATTTTCCTCATTTAAATTAACTGAAATGCAATTAATCCGTTCCAGTGGAATTCTGTACTTCAATAGTTTCGGTAATATCAACTCTACGGCTTATTTATCAATCTCACTTCATCTAATATGACATAACAAACAATATGAATAACATAGAAACATGATATATACTCTAGAATGAATAAAACATGTCATTCATGTAGTGGTATGGGCAGTGTCGGCGGTGGACAAGAGTTTGTCTGGACACCGGGCAAAATTCTTCATGAATAGTTTCGCTAATATCATCTATACGGCTTATTTATATATCACAGTTCGTCTAATATGACATAACAAACAATATAAGTAACATAGAAACATGATATATACTCTAGAATGAATAAAATATGTCATTATGTAAGAGGTGGAGGCGGCCACAACCGCTCCCTCTTTGTTGTGGTAAACACTGCCATCTAGTGATGGCCTTTTGAAGCCGTCTATTATTATAATTATTATATGCAGTACATTATTATTATATATGTATTATTATACATATATTATTATTATTATTATTGTATTATATTATTTTATTATACAGTGGACCCCCGGTTATCGATATTTTTTCATTCCAGAAGTATGTTCAGGTGCCAGTACTGACTGAATTTGTTCCCATAAGGAATATTGTGAAGTAGATTAGTCCATTTCAGACCCCCAAACATACACATACAAACGTACTTACATAAATACACTTACATAATTGGTCGCATTGGGAGGTGATCGTTAACCCTTTCAGGGTCCAAGGCCCAAATCTGGAGTCACGCACCAGTGTCCAAGAATTTTCAAAAAAAAAATTTGTTATTTTTTCTTATGAAATCGTAGAGAATCTTTTTGTGAAGGTAATAAAACAAAAAGTACGAAATTTGGTGGAAAATTGACGAAATTATGCTCTCGCGAATTTTGATGTGTCAGCGATATTTACGAATCGGCGATTTTGCCGACTTTGACTCCCATTTTAGGCCAATTACATTATTCCAATCAACCAAATTCTTAGCTATTTCACTAGTATTACTTCTATTCTATCGATTGAGCACAAGAAATCGCCAAGTCAACTGTTTCAACTACAAAATAAAGTGATCGGAAATTGTTAATTTGGCCAATTTAACACAAAGTTCAAAATATTCCAATTTCAAAATAGGGTCCAGAATGAACAATGTAGGCATTCCTGGCACTAAACTAACATTTCCTCTGTTCATTAGTTATGTTTTGAGGCTTTACAAATAAATTCCATTTTGATTTTTTATTCACATAATGAATTTTTATTCACACCAAAAAATAGAAGATTTACTGTTATGCAATACTGTAATAATTGTATAAATATCATCACCATATTTGTGAATGTATATTAGACCCACCAGCTGACGTGTATTATGACGTGTGAGGTCGTTTGTTTACTCTTGAATATCGGCAAAAATTTAACATTTCTGCTACTTTGAGCTCAGTTTCAAGCCATTTCCAGTGATAAAACCAATCAAAATCATCTCTATTTATGTAATATGTCTTCCATTCTATCAAATGAGACCAAGAAATCGCAAATACAACTATAAAAAACATACGAAAAAACACTGTAAAGTTGCTGTTTTAATCGAAAAATCATGATTTCATTTTTTTTCTCTCATTATACACAGTGTGCTGCAGGATCTGTTTTATGTGGTGCACACATACCACATAGATGTATTCTCTCATATCTAGGCCCAAATGTACCACTCACAGTTTATCAGAGTGAGCTGAGCTCATGGCGTAGATCTACGGTTTGGACCCTGAACGTAAAGCCGTAGATCTACGGGACGGACCCTGAAAGGGTTAAGCGGGGGTCCACTGTACGTATTGTTATTACTCATATTATTATTATAGATATTATTATTATTATTATTATTATCATCATCATTATTATTATTATTATTATTAATATTATTATATAAATTATTTGTAATTTTTATTCACACAAAAAATATAAGATTTACTGTTATTCCTTATTGCAATAATTGTATAAATAATGTCAACCCATTCACGACTGCATATTGGAATGGACATTTGTTTACTCTGAAACAGCCAAGCAATGGACCATTTCTCCTACGGTGAGTTCAATTTCAAGGCACTTTTCATCATGAAAGCAATCAAAATCATATCTATTTCTGTAATATATCTTCCATTCTATCAAATGAGACAAAAAAAATGAGAATACAACCATAACAACCATATGAAAATACCACTAAGGGGTGGCTAATTGCTGAGAAGTGAACTCCATTATTTATGCTTAGATTTGTTTCATTTTTGGTGTACGTTAAGAAGCATCTTTCCATCATACATTGCCAAAGTTTCAATAAGAGAGTCCAACAAACAAATGAGATACAATTCCCGAGATCAAGAGCAAGAGCCCCTCACCAGTATCAAGGAACCTGCCTTGAGGTCTGCTCGCATGTGGAAATTTTGCTCGCTTATGGAAGCAAAAAATCGACCCATTGACTGCTCGTATTTGGAAAAACTCGCACGTGGACACACTCGCAAGTAGAGGTTCCACTGTACTTGCCACATGATTATTACATTGTCATTAAAGTTACACATCAAGAAATTAGGACACACTGACAGGCATGAAACATTTCATAAGGGTGGTAACATACATATCAATGATGGATATCCAATGTTATACAATAAACATTTTTCACTTATATCCATTTAATAAAAAAATTTCATTAAACACTACTGGGAAAATTTCCATAGCTCAGCAGATTTTATGTAGAGTGATACTGATTGAGATGCAATCCCATACAATACTCTCACAAGTGGTGGGGGGCTCAACACCTTTTTTCTAGACTGTACACCTGAAATATGTGATTAAACAAAAAATTCCTTTGCTGAAGTATAAATATAATACACAAAACCAGTATGAAGGAAAGGTATAGAATATTTACCATTGCTTCACTTTTGAGACTATCATTTTTGATAAGCTTGTCTAGAATTGAAGCTACTTCATGAGGCTTATCCAAGTGAATTAAACACTGGCACATGTTGACATAGTCTGGAGTGTCCAAGCCTTGATACAACGACACTAGTTGTTCCAAAACTTCATCACGGAACCTTCTCTGCTCTATATACTGCATGGCTATCTTGTACGAGTAGGTAAGACTACCTACAATATCATCCTGTATAGTAGAAAAATACATCATTTTTGAGTTGTGTGTTTCATTAGCTGAAATAAAAATACCTTTGAAAGTGTACTAAAGGACTCTACTGTATACCTAATATAATACTGTACACAATTTACATATATATACTGCAATAAACATTGAAAACAAATTAGTAAAAAGAACAATTTAACTAGTGGATTTTGATTATAATTTTAAAAGTCCATTATATCAAGGGTTTACTGTACTTATGTACAGCACTGAAATATAAATCTAATGAATTCAGATGAGAACAGACTGCTAAGTCTAATAAACTGAGCAAATATTTGAAATTTCTACAAACCCAACTTTACTTACTGAAGTCATGATAGCCTCTCTGAACCAATCCATTCGATGTGTCTCAAGTGCTATTCCAATAGCATGTCGATACTGTTGGTCTTCAATACAGCGTAGAAACATGTTGTTCAGGAGCGTCTCTAACCGAGGATCCATCTTGGCATCCTTCTGAGCTCGTAATTTGATGTAGTGGTCAATGGCATGTACTGGTTAAAGAAAAAATTACATGTAATCAATTTTATATACATAAAAGAAAATGTGTTTATAAATAGACTGGAAACAACAAAGAAAGGCTGTCTACTCAATAATGCCAAAAAAAAAAGGGGGGGGGGAGGAGGGGACTAGTTACAAGACAGTATTGTATCAACAAAGTGGTTAGTTAGTTTAATATTTTTATTATACACCCCATACCTATCCTGTGGGTGGTAATCAAAAGATTTCAGAGGCACATAATGGGTCCAGGAATTGGGCTCCAAAGTTTTGATAACTCAGCACAGTGGTAATGAACTATTTACATGTTTATATCCAGTTACAATTATAATGAGTTATTTATGCAAGATGTGAATTTACCTTAACTTTGAAGAGTTTCGAGAGTTTCACTACTCTCAGAACCCGGCCTTGGGCCAGGCTCATCTGGTGCGTGCCTGGTCAACCAGGCTGTTGCTGCTGGATTTAGTCACAAAAATAATACAGCATAACTTATAGGGAGGAGGGGGGTTGTAATGCCAAATCACTGTTTTTGAGTATAACCCCACGATCAAACATCCTTTTATTCTCAATGGGAAAAGGCAAGGTAAAAGCAATGAACATGGCAATCTGAATGATGTATACCTTGAAGGTGTGTGGAGAGTCAACACCCCAAGAACCCAGTCCATGACCAGGCACTGATGTACAGTACAGGAGGGCCCCACATACACAGCACCCTCTTTTTGGTGTTCCATTTTTTGTTGGCTTCAAATTGAGCCATTGTTCGTTATGTTTCACCTGCCAGTGATTGTCACCAGCAAGTGGAACAATGGCTCAAATGAAAGCCAACGAAAACGTGGAACACCAAAAAAAGGTACCGTATATGTATATACTTAGAACCTTTTGTAGTTTCAAATATAGGTTGGATAAATACAAGAGTGAGAGGGGTTGGATTTGAGAGGGACTTGCATATGAGAGTGGATAGAGTTACCAGAGCTTACTTCTTGGGTGGCATTGAAATATGGGTTGGGCAAATGTTTTGTTGATGGGATGGATTGTGAAGGACCTGCTAAGTATGGGCCAACAGGCCTGCTGCAGTGTTCCTCCTTTCTTATGTTCTTATGAATGATGAATATTTCCATACAGAGAAAAAAAATTTTGTTCAATGGCAAGTTTGTCGGTTTTCAATTATTTATAATACTTTATATTATAGCAAGATATGGTTGAACTGAGACATGTTATGGGGGTATGTGTTACAGAACACCCTCAACATAATGGCCTAATTGGGGTATCAAAATGCATTAAAGAATCCTAATGTATACCCAATACACTGCAACATTGAAAATACACAACTTAAAAGAATTTACCCAGTGGATTTTTCCCATAATTTTAAAAGTCCATTATATCGAGGGTTTACTGTATTTACAATAGGCAAAGTCAAGGTATTTTCCAGAATGGTTGGTAATATACCACTGTGCATAAAATACTTTTACAATTCTTAAACATTTATGAGCCATCTCTGAATATGTTAAATTTTTATTGCATTCCAGCAAATAATGATGAAAGGTGTGACAAGAGACCACCTGGCAAAATTTACATTTAGTTATGACTACATCAGCCAGTGATGCAACATTGCAGA